CACTCATTCCACCTCTCAGGGAAAACAGAAAAGACGAGTCTGATGAGTGACTTTGTCCTGTAATGATGGAGCACTTTTTGGCTTTGAATAGAGGAGACCGTCAGGTGAGAGGGTAGCCCTGAATGAGGAATTCTGGGTAGGAAGACTATTTCTTTAAATGTTTCCTGAGCAAGAAGTATGGCTTTGAACTTCCATTATCTATGGAGGTTTTGAAGTGCAAGCAGGGAGGCATGCCAGTAAGGAGTTGCAGTTGTCAGTAGCTTTTGATGAAAACATTTTAATAATTCAACTTTCAAAAACTTGAGATTTTGAAATTTAAGGAATTTTCATTGACAGTTATAGAAATAATTATTGATTATTGTGAGAGGAAATCTCTGTAGAAAGTGCCAAAAAAGAGCTTTAATTGAACATATTTCTCAGGGTGTTTTTGAATGAAACCTTCATAAAGTTTCAGGAAATGTTAAGAGACTTTTCAAAATTGTCACTCAAACTTTCTGACAAGCAAAGAAACTTTATTTAATTTAAAAGGAGCTTTGAAGAATTTCACTGGACGTTTTTCTGAATTGCGTTGTTTTTCTGAGATTTTGATTGTTGTTTGGGGGAATTTCGGTTTGGCTAAGAGTCCAGCCTTGACTATTGTTTTCAAAAACAACTCCACCTTGCTTGTCAAGTTGCTGGTCAGGTTTTACACTAAGGAAAAACACAGAGAATAAAGTCTTGGCTGATCTCAGACTACACTGGAAGCCCTGAAATATTGGCTGGTGTTCCCGGAGGCTGTATTGTTGTCAGATGATAGCCAGTAGGTTCTGAGATTGCCATCAGATTACATCACCATTATTAAGTAAATATGAGACAAGGTTTTCTTCACTTCCTCCCACTGTGCTCACCTCAAAACTATATCTAAAAAAGACACCAATTTCAAATTCCCTATTACATGTGGTTCACCTCTAATTTGTGGGTTATCATTGTAATGAAGGACTGAGACAATAATAAAAATATCATCCAGCTGGTTTTCTCCCAGTCTCAGCATGACCTAAAAATTCTTTTCAAGGCCAAAGCCAGTATTTGTCTTTGCCTCTGACATTTCTTTGTCAACAGATTTCAGAGGGCTTATCAAAGGTTTTGGCCTTACAACTGTCAGCTGCTCTGTATTTTGAACTCTGCTCCCATCATGGGGAGAGAGGAGGCTGTTTGAGCCTTGATGGCAAGAGGGATGAGAGGGATGCTTTCATGGCCCGTGTTTCAATGAGGGAAACAACAAACAAGTCGAAGTGAAAACCACCATTACAGGAGGTTAAAGGATCTGAATTCAAACCTAAATTGTTTCAGTAGAGCGGAAGATTAAAGTCTTTCCCTGCTGTAGTCCTGTTGAGTCTCACACTTTGTTTTGTTGGGGCAGCATGCACAATGACCTCTCTGCTGGGACTCAGCACCAGATTTAGAGGATTTGCATAATGATGGGACATGACATAAAACTGGCACATGCAAATAGCTGTAAAGAGATGCTGAATGCAGTGCCGATAGATGAGTAAATGACTTTTATCTAACAGAATGTAAAACTGCAGAGAGAGCAGTACCTTTTTAGCAGAGCAGCAAAATGTTGCATATATACTTAAAAAAGCCTCCTTACCAGGGAAAAAAAGGGTCTGAAAATATCCAAAATCGAATTTGGATGTTGAAGCGTAGAAAATGAACAGATAGATGTCAAGATTATATATTATCTTCCCGCATCAGATATGCCAGTTTGATTTCCAAGTTAATAAATCAGCGGGGAAAAAAAGTCTGTCTTGACATTTCGTGGCTGTCAGATCTGAAAGGTTTGGTTTAGGATTATAATGAGAAACATTCCGGCTTTTAAATACTTGCACAGTTTGCTTCTTTTCACCCGGCGGTACTCTTTATTCATATATGTGTGTGTGAAGGAACAATGTTCTTGTTGGAGGCAAATTTATTGTTTTTTTTCATGCAATTACAAAGTGATTCTGAAAACTGTACGTGAGGTAAAGGGGTCAAATAAGGAATGACAACTTTCATATATGTTTAATAAATCGGTCTTATTCTGTGTTTTAAACTAAAATAACAAGTTTGGGTTCTTGCAGGTCTTGGTAACTCAAGTGGGAAACAACTGGTCCTGTCCACAGATGATTGACTGGTTGGGGGGGTTTTACTGGCTGATACACTAAATGCCCAACTCACAATTGCACACAGACTTGGCAGCTATGAAGGAGGCAGGCTCCTAAATCAAATTTTTCTCTAAAAGGTCAGGGTAAGCCCAAGCTGTAGCGGAAACTTTATGGCGTTAAATCAATCCAAGGCTAGACAACCTCTCATCGCTAACAATAACATTACAATTCTGAGTGATCACCATCAGCCCCTAATGCATTTTTCTCGTGTATTGGATGATATTACTTCACTCAGTAGGGAGAGCACGGTTATGGCAGCGGTTCCTCCAACATGTCGCTGCTGTTGGACATATGATGCCGTTTCCCCACCGGCTTGGTGAGAAAACAGAGATCACAGCTCATCATTTGTAAGGAAAACGCTACATGAGACAGCATTCCCAACCTGCTGCAATTAGGACAAAGAGTCTGATGATCAGTCAAAATAATTATACTAGCAGTAATTAGCATTGACTTTGTCCTCTGTGTGAAATGGCTGTGCCAGAAGAAACACCCTGTATCATCACAGACCTAAAGTGTTCCTGCTGTTCTCTCTGTATTTTCGCCATGCTTTATTGGTTGGAAGTGTATTTCCATTACTCAGCTCTATCTGGAAGCAAAGGGAGAGGAGAGAGGAGGTCCCCCAGGGCTGAGAAACAACCTCCGCCTGCCTCCTCTGCGCATAATTGAACAAATTAGCCATGAACAGCTGTTACCTGTTAAAATGACCCGCTTTCATTTTATCGCTGCGGACAAGAGGTCTGATAGCATCTGCACACTACAGCTGTCAGCCATTCTGATTAGCTAGCTGATTCCTGCTTTCAATATATCATGACAAACATAATTACTTCAACATCTCTTTTTATGGATTCTACAAATCGCCCAGCGCATGGAGCATGCCAAGTGTCCATCAATTACAGCCGCAGTCAGCTGGTAGCCGGTCCGCTTGGACTTTGTAGAACCAAGAGGAAGAAAGTCTTTAATAACGCCGTAAAAGGAAAGTCTACGGCTTTAAAATTAAGATTTAAGAGCGTAATAATTGCTGAAGTACATGAACCTCATTGCCTGACCTCAAAGACTCCTTGCTAGGCCTCATCAATAGTTCAGCCTCCAGCTACTTCTGAGCAGTGCCGAGAACACTTGCTGTGACATTGTTCTGAAACTAATCAAGCAGAGTGAATTCAAGAAATGGACTCTCAGGCAATAATGGCCATTCATAAGGTTCGGCCATTTAGACGGTGGAAGTTAAGTGGCTGTAAAACAATGGCCAGAATTACATAAAACAGAGTAAATTTACCCTAAGTGATATAAAAAACTAATGTGGGTTAAGTTTTGAGTCTTCTGTAAACCTGGAGTTTTCAATCTGTCTCCTGTGTCCATCCTTCCCTCTGTGTATGGACACATTTCTGCTGTCTACATTACTCCTTTCTGCAGTTGTCATTGTTTTTGTTGTTGATTTTTAAACAATTATACTGCAAGTTTAATCTTTGAATAAGTAGACTCACTCCACATAAAGATGAAACTCTGGATGTTAAAATGTTTGTTATTCTGGGTTTAAATTAAAAGCGTTTCCATTAGTTACAAATCTGGAGAGAATTAACTCCTCTACTCCACTGCTCGGGGCATTTAAGTGACTAAAACTTATTGCTTTTCTCCTGGCATGAAGCGGCCAACTGTTTTTTAGTGAGAGTGACTAAACCTATACAAACTGCGTGGCTTGAAACCCCAGAAAGACTCCGTTTGCACATAAGCTGTTATGAACACTTATCTCTTACACAGAAAGCCTCATAAACGCATTTGTAAGGTCATATAATGCGCTATAAACATGATTTGTGTTACCAATTCAAGCATTAGCTTAGAGGATTTGCAAACAACTCTAATCTGTTATTATCAGCCTTTTACTCGACGCCTCAACTTCTCTGGAATTGGGGTACTAAGTGGATTCAATCCTGTTGGGTCAGAAACAGAAACTAGCTCAGTTTTCACCCATTTACTCCCACAAAAACATGTTTGCAATTGATTCATACTATAAAAAAAATGACTGCACACTTTATTGTGCCTGCATATCGACCTTATTTTGACCATACTGAGATAAATCACTCGAGGTCATGCTGGTACTGTCGCTGTTTCCTTTAAACCGAGGAAAGTTTGCAATAAATAAGCACATCTTTAAAAAAAAAAAAAAGGGCATTGCAGTTTGCTCTCCCCTTAAGATATCGGCCATTATCCTGTGAGCCAAATGATGCCTCAAATCCTCCTCTTCCTCCTTGATTATGTGGTCACAAAGTGCACCAATCAAGCGCTGACCTTTTACTGCAGGAACAGCCATAACAACACACAGCGGGGGACAACGGTTTGATCTCACACCCCTGACAGTCAGACAGAAAAAGGCAGAAGATGAGAGAATGACGTATCTTCAGATTGTCTCATTTGTGCAGAGCAGACATTTGGAATAGATATCTTTGGCCCAAAACACGGTTAAAACTCGGGAACTTCTGGTTCTGGAGGCTGTAGTGATTATGCGCAAACTATCATGAAATGTAGTTAAAGGAGCTCTGTAGTAACATGAAACAAGCCACCGGAAGATAGAGACTCATTTAGTTAAGTTCCCCGTCAGGGACACTGTAAACTCTTGAAGCCCTATCTTGTGTGCAAATGGAGAAAACGGAAGATTTGGAACCAAGTGAGGGACTACAAAAGGGATTTGAATATAAAACATTTCACACCCTGCAAAACAATGAGAGTTCTCGCAGTCTGCCTGTCTACTTTCCAATTCCCAATACTGCATCCTCAGATTAATATTTTTGAATTTAAGCATGAAAGCCAAGCATTTATTGTTGCACCAAGATCTCATAAATCAAACATGACAGTCCATTTTTCTGCGAGCATTTAATGGGAAATAAATTGTCTGGATATGGGTTGTTTATTTCTCTTGCAGATGTACATAATGAAATCTGAAGATTTCATCCAAAGATGCAAAAATGCCTCTGTTCATCCTCATTGTTAATAAAGTTGAATGTGTTGATGCAACAATTGAGAGCTCTGCATCTGTTTTTGGAGGCAGAGCATGCTCACAGCAGAGAGGATGTCAAAGCAAAAGGTAATACAGAGGCTCCATCCGGGCCGTATCTTGAAGCAGTGTGTAGGTAAGCACTGACAGATGGTTGGATCATGTTGACGGTGTGTGTGATAGATAGCTACTCTGTGAATAGCTGTGCAGCATAATATGATTTGGATGTAAGAATGGAATCTAAATCTGATTTCAGGCGGTACTATGGGCCCAGAGCTTCACTCCTTTATCTCTGTCCCATGCCAGCTGTAATGCGGTCAGCTGCAGCTGTCGTCTCTGGGGTGGGGTCTCACTGACCCACGAGGAAACATTATCGCCTCCACTCTTAGCTTTTTGTCACTTTTATGTCTCACTGAAATGACTCTCATTGTATCGTAATAACACTCATCCTGCCGCCGCCATCCAAACTATGCTTCTATAGAAATCTCTGTGTGAATCAAATAGCTTCTGTTGGCGTGGCGAACAGGTGGAAAGAGCCAGTGTAAAGTTTCAGGATTGTTTCTCTGCTTGGCGTCGTGCTCCTCTTGACTGTTTGAACCCTCCCTCATTTCTCCTGGGAGCCCACTCCTCTCCTACGGCGAGTCACTCTGTGAAAGGATTAGACGAGAGGTTCACCGCAGGGGCATCAAGCAATCTGCATACAATAGCCCACCATGGAAGCAAATAAATCATCATTGATGTAAGACAATAAAGCAAATGCACTGGGGCTATTTGTTTATTCTTATTACAGAGAGCGCCACACTTTGGATCATTCAGAGTAAATGCATTACTTAGAGACGACTCCGGTCAGAAACCCCCCTCTTGTCTTCTCCATTTCACTCTTTGTGCGCGTCCAGAGGCGGTTCAGGCAGTCCACTAAAGCAGCCATTAGATAGATAACCAATCAGACTTGGGTCATTCTCTCCTTCCTGCATTCTCTTCTGCCCCTCACATCCTGCGGCCATCATAGAGGAAATGAAAGTCACTGATGGAGAATATGAGGAAATAGTGTAGATGGATGGATGACTGTATCTACTGACTGTATCTGCTCAGCTCCCTCAGGAAGAATACATATGATATCCATGATATATGACACACACACCTGGCTAGATGGATATGTTCCTGCAGGAAAAAGTTCACTCTGAAAGTGACACCCCTGATGACTTTTTCATATCTATAGCGGTATTTTATAGAGCTCCTGTGAGGAGTTTTTTAACATCTATGAAATAGACCGGTGTGAGGGGTTAGGTGTCAGCTTAGCAGCTATAGAAACAGCTCTTTTTTTAGACACTTTCCACAAAAAATAAAAATTAAAAAACCACAATTAATGCCATATTTTACTGCAACGTCAGCAGGATGAGAAGTTCCTACTCAAGCACAAAGAGGAAAAGATAAGCAATGTCTGCTTTGTCCACAATTGACAGAAGCTGAAAGTTACTCACAGGAGCTTTCAAGACACCAGATGAAGAAAGTGAATTGAAGTGCTATAAAACAAGAAGTATCTTTAATTTCTTCGTTTTAATATTTGGACTGTTTCTGTTGATGGACCCAGAATTTATCTTCACTTTTATCTCAGAAACTTGCATAATGGCGTCTTTGCCGGCAGTGACCTTGTCTGGGTCAGATTATAAATCTCTAATCATGAGAAAATTTGAATGAAGGAAAATTTTTAATGTTACGAAAACTCTTTTTGTGTGTGCACGAATGATACTGAGATAATCGATATTAAGTCTTCTTCACACATGGACATCCATCGTGGTTATCTCTTTCTCTATATGAGCCAAATGAGCGATACCTGATGGGGGGCGAAATGTGTTTTCAGTGCATCATTAAACATAAATTATTTTAAACGGAAAAAAGCCTGTTAGCTTGTGCAGGAAGACAACTTAAGATGCATTAATGTCACATTTGCCACCGTACAATCACATGACAAACTATCCTTCCAGTTAGGTGCCCAGATGTGAGACATCCAGTCTCTGCCTCTGCTTTGTTGATGCCATTGCTCCCTGAAGGGGAGTGGTGGCATCAAAGCTACTTCCAACTTACACTGTGTCACTACTCTTTGATTTCTGCATGTAAGGTTTATCTGTAAGATTCACAGCTTTGATGCCAGACTTTGTTGTAGCACAAGTTAAAGTGATATTCCGGCATAAAATTGTTTTAGGGTCTAACAAACCATAACACCGAGTTAGACATCCTCCTCGAGAGATGAATGCTGCCGACTGCTTGCTTCTCTAGTTATACCAACATGAAGGACCGCAAGATAGCAAAGACACTAAACACGACTCACCTACTGTCTTCCAGCAGCCGCTTGTTTGTAGCGAGACCTCAGGCCAGTCCATTATCATTTCCTTTAAGTAATAATCACCATAGTTATCAGTTTGCACTGCAGACGCGGTAGTTCTTCTGCCTTAGCATCTTGGTCTGATTGCATTTCCATGATGAAATGATCATAAATGTTCTTCCTTAAGCTGCGTCGCCCCGCTGCAGTCCGCAATGGACTGGCCCGAGGTCTCCCTACAAACAAGCGGCTGCTGGAAGAGAGTAGGTGAGTTATGTTTAGTCTCTTTGCTAAAGAAATTAGGCAAATTTAAAAAGATGTTTGGTGGCTAAGACTATGGCTGGGACCCTATATGTACTATTGATGAAGTTAGGTGCTGTTCTGAGCATTACTTGTGGCTATAGAGTGGTTTTTTGGTTGAGGTTTGTGTGTGGTTCCAAAGACCGCTGTGTATTGCCATCTGCAGTCGTTACTAAAGTTGGTATAATCCACAACAAAGAGGGAAAAAAAAGTTAAGTTGGTCCTACCAGCCCGGTAAGACCACGAGTGAGGGGGAGATGATAGTGATGGTGATGGTGATGATGATGATGATGACTATGGGTGAGGGGAATTTCGACTGTTGGAGGTGAATCCAGGGTTAGCTCGCCATCGAGCATCAAAACCCCGGGGGAAAAACCTGGCTTGGGTAACATGGTAAATGTAAATGTCTGCACAAATGCACCGTTTTAACAAAATCACTTTACCTTAAACCAATGGTTCTCAACTGGTCTCACTCTGGGACCCACATTTTCCCATGGTCCTTAAGTTGCAACCCACTTTTATAAAATTTAAACCAAGCAAATTTATTTTTTTTAGCAAAAAATAAACTTTAAAGACTTAAATCTTAATAAATATCATATTGCAAAAAATAGAGACAAAACAAACATGTATTTTTACTGCATTCAGGCAACATTAATAAGTAAAGCAAGTAGGACCACAACAAAAGGCGTGCCTTTCAAAATAAGCCATTTTTCAAAATAAAAGACATGTCAAACATCAGATGCGCATTAAACATTTACTCTTTTGACCAGCTGTTCGCGACCCATCCTCAACGTGGCCGTGACCCACTTTTGGGTCGGGACCCACCAGTTCAGAACCACTGCCTTAAACACTTAAATGCCATGCCGTCGATCAGTGATGATGATAAACAGGTGGGCAATGTCACACTCACCATTTCGCGTTGTATATAGTCTGAAGTTATCCGCGTTCAGGTTTGAGCAGTCCTCCTAGTTTCGGTTGTTTAAGCAGCAGTTTTAGCTGTTTTGTTCAGTTTTGTCTAACTCAGTTTAAGCCACTGTTACCGGTGATCTTTTCCAGGCAGCGTCTCCCACTTACTCTCTCAAAACTGCTGCATGTGTGCTACCATTGGCTGGCAAAGTTCACGCGAGATTTAAACGTGATTGAACGTGATTTGACAAAACTTCCTGTCATGGCATTTGATTTAAGATAGATAGATAGATAGATAGATAGATAGATACTTTATTAATCCCAGAGGACATTCAAAAACACAATTTAATTACATTTTGTAAAATAAAATTACAATAAATTATTTTAACACAACATAATCCATTGCATCGATTCTTTTCATCCTTTTTACCTTTTAAGTATTCTTCTAAAATAAATTAATCTGGTCATTTCTGTGATCTGAGTTACATTGTGTCTGGTGCAATAAAGTTTTCATTAATACAGCTTGAGTTGACCGACTGAAATAAAGCTTTCGTGCGTGTTGTGCAACTCCTTTCCTGTAAATAAAGAACTGGAGTTCTTTGTCTAAGCCTCGACTACAGTCTCCCTGGAAAAAAGTTTTTCCGACTTCAGCGCATCTTCCCTGAACAAATGTTTGCCTTGTGATGAGAAATAATCATTTTCTTGGAACGCCGTGATCTTGTTGACAGTTTTGACAGGAAGTAGAGTTTAGGGGCTTAGTGGCTCAAAAAAGAAATCAGATTTCCACAACCCGAATTTATGATCTGACTTTGCTGTTTGCCTCTCAAATCTTTCATGACTCTATCCAAAAAACAGGGAGTAGTCAAACGAGTTGTAGTGAACTGCAAAGTTCATACACAGTATGAACTTCAGCATTTGATGGAGAAATCAGAGCACTGTTTAGCTTAGCAAGACTGGTTGTGTTTAATACATTACTGAGATAATAGTAAGACATTTAATAGTTCAAACTAAACCTTTTTCTCACAATTCTTGTTTTGATTCATTAATGAAGAGTTTCAAATCATTTAAATGACAGTTGTCTACAGAGGGAAAAAGCACTTAAAAGCAAAGAGAAAAAGAAAAAAATAGATGAGTCAGACCAGTTTGCAGGGATTTTTTTTTTCAAGTTTTGCAGAAAACATGGTCTCCCAGACTCAACAGAACAAATTGGATTTTTTTATGCACTTTGTTGCATTTATCAAGTCAAAAGCATTTCATAGTAATAGGACTAAACATTCATTTCTCAGGAGTAAATTAGTTTCTCCAATGTTTGTGCCTATTTGCTTTAACAAGAACACATGAATGAATTTAGATTTCTGTCGGATTCGTAGTTTTCAGAAAATAATGCCCCCTTTTTCTAAAATGGAAAGATTAATTGGTGCTTTAATGGAGACTGCAGTCTGGTTAATGCTGACCCGTTTATCCAGCAGACATAAAATAAGCTTTTAGAAAATGTGCTTACTGTGACGCAATGACAATTACATGAAACAATGCTGCGGTTATGGTGTAGGACTGAAGAAATACAGCTCCTGACGTTGGCTACATTAACAGTTTATGACGTTATCTCTCCTGACAACAGGTGTGTGTGTTCGTGTGTGTGTGTTCTGCCTCTGTCTGCTGTGTCCCAGCTTAGTTAATAAAATAACATCCAACCAGACGGAGATTTCATTTGATCACTCGTGTGTTGAGTGGCAGAGATCCAGACGTCTGAGTGTAGAGGGGCTGCTGAGGGGTTATTTTCTGGAACAACTTAACATTTTAGAAAATGCTTTCTTGCTGAGAAGACTAATATATTTAAGAAACAAATAAATAAAACTACAACCAGGTTACATTTTATGAATGCCTTCTTGCTGAGAACATGATTAACATCCTCCCACTGATGAAAACAAGCCAAAGCCAGATGAGTTTATGCTATCAAGTATATTCATTCATTTTGGAAAATGTTATCAGCTCCTTTACCAAGAAGACTACGAACATCAATTTAATATATTTTAAAAAGTCAAGGCCAGGATAGTGGAATTAAACCAGTTTGCCTGTTTCACTCACACAAGTGTCCATCAAGAACGAGTTCCTGCTATCACGCCATGGCGATTTAGTGTAAAGCTTCACATACCTGGCAGGCGTGATAAGAGAAATGATGTCTTTGTTTTACATCAAAGTGAACAAACATAATCCCTAAAATATGAAACTTCAATGGTTTTATGAGACTGACATAATGAATAGTTAATTTTTCAGATAGCATACAGTGAATAGGTTACCTGCAAAACCAAGCTAGCTGAGCTGTTCTGAAAGGGTTACCGTATTGATTGATATTTGTTTTAAACCACCCAGGTGTATAAATCCACAGGAGGTCAGACTTCGGCATGGGGCCATCCTGATAATCATGTGCTTATAAACTGATTTAATCCATCCTGACTGATCCTGTCAACCCTGGAGTCTAGCTGGTGGGAAGCCAGGAGCAGGTATCACTTTACCCTCGGTGTTCTTGTAGTTCGAGGAGACAGATTTGTGCGTTGATGTGTGTTTGTGCGAGTGGTGTGTAACAGCAGGGCTCACTCTGTCTGCGTGTGCATTGACGTGCTCTGACAGGTCAATCAATGTGGAGGAGATGCGGTCCGCTGTTGGTTCATTGACCTGCTGTGCAAAAAGAGAACACACAAGGGTCAACTCATCCTGCTCCTCATGCTGCCTTCACTGCTTGCTATGATTGCTAACTGATTTCCTTTTCTTCCTACAGAGTTTCTGCCTTTTTAAGGTGGCCAATGCTGATGCAAGACTTCAAACTGAGCGTGAAGGTCTAAAAGGTAGTTTTGCTGCTGACTATTTGTGTGATTACCCTTTAAATAATGTCGAAGGATACTGTTTGTTTTTACACATGATAGACAAATAATGTCTAACAGCTCTCAGGCCTCTTGGGCTTCATTTTATCTCGTTGCAAATATAACACTATCATTGCCTGGCAGGGACAGTTGTGTAGACATCATGTTAACACATTCAAGGTTGTTCTGACATTTTTAAAATCCAGGTTGCCACCAATATTTTCCCCACTGTTAGACAGACATGAGATAATGAAAAAATATCAGTGACTTTTACAAAAGCAAAGCATTCAAACATGTTTTTTGCAATAACATTATTCAAATCATGTCATTTATTTCAATCATGAAGAGTTTAGGCACAAAGTTTGTGTCTAAATATTCTGCTGCAGTGTATCAGTTGCCAAATATTAAAAAGATAAATATGAAATATACAACAAAACAAATTGCCAAAAGAGTAAAACTAAAATTGCTATGGCAACAAAGGCTGGAACACAAAAAGGGAAATATACAAAAGACGACAATTTGTGTAAAAGAGAATAAAAGGGGAAAAAAAATAAACACAATATTCATTTCTGTGTTCTCATGGGATGAAAATAATATTTTTACACTTTGAATAATGTGGGCTATTTTCATTGATCACATGACTGTTTCATGCTTGTTTCTGATTGGTTCACAGTGCATAGCAACAGTCTGTTGTTCCTTAACAGCACCACGTTGCTATGAAGAATGTTCTGATACTATGGATACAGCTCTGATCATTGACTTCAGCTAACTGTTAGCATATCAGTCCATCTACAAGAGTGTAGTTTTGTTGGATGGGAGATGAAAATAGCGTCAAAAAGCCAGGAGAGGTTAACGGTACGCAACTCACAGACGATGAGATGGAAATCTACAAAAGTGGAAAACACATGTTAAGCTGTTTCAGTGGAAGAATCTAGTATGACAACCTGTACGTAACACATCAAAACTTACTTCCCAACCCATCAACCCTCAGAAAAAATAATACTGTTACAATTTAATTACCAATTTAATCTTTGGGCTCCAATCAGAAGCCTAGTTATAAAGGAAATCAGCAACTCTTGCTTGCATGTAAGGCTTCATAAACTCACAAGCTGAGGCCATCACTATTCCAAACAAACGTGCCTCTCTCTAACCAGTTGTATCAAGCCATGCATGTTGTCTGGGTTGATTTTCCCAGGTTGTATTTTCACTCCAGGCCCTTCTGTCTCCACATTTCTGCAGCTTCTGCTGGGAAAGACTTCATTATTCCACCTTGGAAGATGTTCCCGTCAGGCACAGTTGAGAAATGATCAGCCTTAATTGTGTTGATCATGTGAGCTTATGTTTGTTCATGGCTGGCACTGAAACTAATTTGGGATATGAAACTCAATCATCTAAATATTGAACCATTGCGAACAGAAGCACATCATAATTTCAGATTCTTCTGATTGTCACATTGTGGAAATGTTTCCTGGAATATATTATGGCTCCTTTTTATGCACAACCAGAGGGATCATTTATTCGTGAGGAACAGGCTGTTTATTAGCGCACAGTTACAATGACTCACATCTATCAGCACACCCGCTTTATGACAGCAAGTGTGCTCATAGTGCATATATGCACTCCAGTCACCTGTAAATTATGTCCTCTCAAGTTGTTTACTGTGGAAATGCAAAATACAGCACAGTGTTTAATCGCATTCAGAGGAATTTCATGCAGCTTTTACATCGTCTTCTGCTGAGAGGAGACAGTCTGATCCGAGGGTGATGTGTTCCTGCAGTTCGATATAGCTGACATGTCAGCTTGTGTGTTCACTTAATAAACTACAGCTTCCTGTTCTTCATAACTCAAAGCTTAATATCATATTTCACCTTGGAAGGATAAGACCGGGGACCAAGAGGGGCAAAGCTAACATTTGATGTGCTTAGGGCGGGATGAAACTAATTTTGATTTCTGTGGTTCATTTTAAAATCAACTTTATTCTTTGGCCTTTTGCCTCCATCAAATTGGGCTGCCAAAGGAAGTCAGAGGGTGTGGGAAAAAAAAGTAGACATCGCTGGTCACAAGGCAGGGGTCAGTCCAGCAGCCAGTGCCTTCGAGACTCTGTCCTCTCTACCAAATACCCAGTGCACCTTTTTGGAGTCAGGCGTGTTTTTAACCCTTTCACTCATGGTGGCCAAAACAGCGGACACATTCATAAGATATTTTAGATTAAATGCATTGGTTTTGATTTGATTTTTCTCACATCTCACACTGACAGTGACTTATCTTAATTTTATTTTTTGACCTTTGTTTAACCTGAAAATCCCATTAAGATTTAGAATCTACTTTGCAAGAGAGAGATAAAAAATTCTGGGTTTTGATTTTATTTCAG